ATTCATTCAATACCCAAGTTGTGGAAACTTGAAATCAGGTCTTGGATCATTTTATCATATTCGGGGGAGCGCCTGTTTCCCGGGAACTTGTGGACAATCTTCTTGAATGACAACCAGGCATTCACCTCCACACCTGCTAATGCTTTTTCAAAATGCTTGTCCTTCATCAATTCCCGAATCTGAGGGCCTACAAAGATTCTTGCATTTAGCTTGCCTTCACTTATACGAGGAAACTTTGACTCCAGGTACTTGAAATAAGTTCCATTCTTGTTCAAGGCCTTCACTGTTCAAGGCCTTCTTGTTCAAGGCCCTAATTTGATGTGGAGTGGTGGCAGTAGAATTTTCTTGGGGTCAACTTGTGGCACAGTTTTCATGTTGTGATTTCCGGGTAAGAAGCTGGTTCTTGGTGGCCAGTCTTTTTGTTCATAGTGCTGACTGTCTGCCCTACTATCCCAAAGACACAGAAAACAGAGATACTTAGTGAATCCGCCTTGAAGACCTTGTAGGAGAGCAATAACTTTTAAATCACCACAAATGAGAAAATTGTGATTCTGGTACTTGATTGCAAATATTAGTGTCTTCATATTTGCGCAAATTTCTGACATTTGGACACTATGGCCAATTGGCACAGATGCAGCTGTGTTGCCATTGTAGAGATGTACAGCCTTTAAACTTCTTTTAGAATAATCAATGAAGAGTCTCCATTTATCTGCTTGGTATGACATCTAATATGTTCAATAATGCCAGAAATATTTGAACAAGAAACTAAAGATTCCTCACTGTCAGAGAACTGAGTGAATTCCGTTTCACGATGCCGGTACCAAGCGAATGTTGGTCCAGGAGCTAGAAGCCTGTGTTCCTTCAGTCTAGAACCAAATAACTGTGCACCAAGTCATTGAGCTCAACAGGAGACATCATTGCGGCTGAGCTGTGACGTAATGGGGTACGGTCTCCTCTGGAATGGTGAAGCAGTCATCGTGGAGTAGTCGCTGCAGGGTTCACTCATCCTGGGATACAACCTACTGGTGACCTCGAGTGACGCATCATCAATACTCAGTAACTGGGCAGGATTTCTTCTGGTAAGAGATTCAGGAGGACAATTCTCAACTTGTACTGTCTCTGGAGCTGTCACTGCCGGTGAGAGTGGAGTGAATCGTAGCACAGACAACTTAGGTGAAACATTTGGAAGCCATAGCAGCATACACCGTAACTGGAGTGAGCGGGCTAGCAAAGTGACATCATCCTTTTGCAGGCTGCTTACTGAAGCTATGACACAAGTCAGACAGTCACCTGTCAATCAGGCTACCGTGGCTTAACGGTGTCATTCTCTCAACAGAGTTCGAGTCATAGCAGAGATTAGTGCCCCTTCTTTTCATTGGGGAAATGTTGCATCTCCTGACTAGTCTATTGCTTTCATAGGGAGTGATTTCCATGATTATGTTTGATACTAATCCCTCTAGGATTTTCCAAGTGCATATTATCATGTATCTCTCTTGCCTGCGTTCCGAGGAATACAAACCAAGGCTCTCATTATCCATCCTATCCTTTTGCTAGCTGATGTGGTAAATACATTGTTGTGGTCTTTGATGGCGAGATCCTCTCACATTATCACTGCCAGGTCCTGCACATTACTTTTTCACTCTATTGTATGGCTACAATTTGTCGTATACCCTGATACAATTTTAATTTCCTCAAGTTTTCCATATCTGAGTAGCAAAAATTTCTCATCGTTAAACTTCAAATTGTCTTTGAGTGGCCTGTTCGAAGATTTGGTTGATGCTCGCTTGGAGTCTTGCAGTGCCTTCAATGGAGGTCACTGTCATGGCAATCCGGGTGTCATCTGCAAAGGAAGACACGGAGCTATGGCTTGCATCTCTGTTTACGTCAGATATGAGGATGAGGAATAGAATGGGAGCGAGTACCGAGCCTTGTGGAACAGAGCTTTTCACCTTAGCTGCCTCAGACTTTACTCTGTTTACTATTACTCTTTGTGTTCTATTTGTCAGGAAGTTATAGATTCATTTACAAACTTTTTCTGTTATTCCTTTATCGCTCATTTTGTGCGCCATTACACAATGGTCACACTCGTCGAAAGCTTTTGCAAAGTCTGTGTGTACAACATCTGTATTTTGTTTATCCTCTAAAGCATCTAGGACCTTATCATATTGGTCCAGTAGCTGGGAAAGGCAGGAGTGACCTGCTCTAAACCCATATTGCCCTGGGTTGTGTAACTGATGGGTATCTAGGTGGTTGGCTATCTTGCTTCTTAGAGCCTTCTCAAAGATTTGTATATGGGATGTTAGTGCTATCGGTCTGTAGTTCTTTGCAATTGCTTTACTGACACCTTTTTAGAGTGGGGCTAAATCTGTTGTTTTTAGTGAGTGTGGGATGACCCCTTTGTGCATGTTCCCTCTCCGCAAAATGCTGAAGGCACGTGACAGGGGCTTCTTGCAGTTCTTGATGAACACAGAGTTACATGAGCCTGGACTTGGAGCAGAGTGCATGGGCATGTCATTTATTGCCTTTTCAAAGTCTTGTGGCAGGGTGCATGGGCATGTCACTTATTGCCTTTTTAGAGTCTTGTGGTGTTAGGATAATATCCGAGATTTTTCAGATGACCAAGTTTCGGGTCTCGTTCATAAAGAATTCATTTGGATTGTCGACCTTTAGTCTAGGTAGCGGCTTGCTGAACACTGAGTCGTATTGGATCTTTAGTATCTCACTCATTTCTTGGCTGTCATCTGTGTAAGTCCCATCCCTCCTAAGCAGGGGCCCAGTACTGGATGTTGTTTTTCCCTTAGATTTGGCATAAGAGAAGAAATATTTTGTTTTGTTTTTCAATTTCCACTTTGGCTTTTAGTTCTTCCTGCGATTCTTGTCTCATGTAAGATTCCTTCAACTTAAGTTCGATATTTGCAGTTTCATTGATCAGTGCCTCCATTCGTTTTTCAGATGTATTGGTCCCTCTCAGCAGCTCTGTGACTCTGCCTTCGTCTGTATAACGAGTTTCTCTCTCTTTCTAGTGTACGTCTTCTCTTTCTTTTTCATAATGGAGTGTGCCTTGAGCAGAAATTAAATTTTGTGAAGAGACCCTCTTGACTGATCACATTTCGCTAGTCAAGAGCCCTGTACATATATGTCTAAACCTTTATTATGTTTTGATCTGAATGTTTTATCTTTGATACGGTTATATTACGTATCAGATCGCTGATAGTAAAGATGAAGTCCAGTGTATTTTCTAGTCATTTAGGCTCTAATATTTGCTGGTTTAAGGTGAATCTGGTTCAGAGATTTAATAGCTCGTGTGTGTGTAAATTTTCATCTGAGCTGCCTCCTGGGTTGATCTCTTTTAAAATACTATTTGCTACACGCCTCCGATTTAGGAGTCTGAAGTACAAATCTCCCATTAGTAAGATTTTTGAGGCAGGAGTTGGGAGATTTTCCAGACAGAGGTCAATTTTCAAAAGCTTCTCACGGAATTGCTGGGAAGTTGCATCTGGAGGCTTGTCACTCACTCCCTGCTTTGTGAGCTTTATCGTACCTCTTCTTAAAGCTATGTATGGATCCTACCTCCACCACCTTACTTTCCAAACTATTACACTTCCTAACAACTATGTGACGGAAGAAACACATCCTAACATTTCTGTGACTCACTCGAGTCTTCAACTTCCAAGTGTGACCCCTTGTTTCTTTGTCCCATCTGTGGAACATCTTATCTCTGTCCACCTTGTCGATTTCTCTCAGTTTTTAATACGTTATTATCATGTCCCCTCTGTTCCTCCTGTCCTCCAGTGTCGTAAGGACAATTTTTCTTAACCTCTCTTCGTAGGACATGCCCTCTAGCTCCTGGACTAATCTCGTTGCAAACCTTTGCACTTTCTGTAATTTCCTGTCGTGCTTGCTGAGGTGTGGGTTCCAAACTGGTGGTGCTTACTCTAATATAGACCTGGCGTACTCTGTGTACAGAGTCCTGAATGACTCCTTACTGAGATGTCGGAAAGCTATTCTTAGGTTTGCTAGTCGCCCATAAGCTGCAGCAGTTATTTGGTTGATGTGCGTGTCAGGAGATATGTTCAGAATTATACTCACCTAAAGATCCTTTTCCTTAAGTAAGGTTTGTAGTCTTTGGCCCTCAAGGCTGTATTCAGTTTGCGATCTTCTTTGACCTTCTCCGATATTCATGACTTTGCACTTGACGTGGTTGAAAACCAGGGTCCAGTTGTTAGTCCAGGCTGCAGCCTGTCCAGATCCCTTTGCAGTCCTGCCTGGTCCTCCGAATGAATTCTCCTCATTAACCTCACATCGTCTATAAACAGTGACACTTCTTAGTCTATACCCTCCATCATGTCGTTCACATATACTAGAAACAGCACCGGTCCTAGAATTGACCCCTGATCCATTGCAGTGCCTTCCCTGTTATACCTGCCTGGTCATTCAGCTTTTGCACAAGTCTCTTGTGTGGAAACGTGCAGAAAGCCTTTTTACAGTGTACTCACCTAGTTGAGGTTGCGGGGGTCGAGTCCGAGCTCCTGGCCCCGCCTCTTCACTGATCGCTACTAGGTCACTCTCCCTGAGCCGTGAGCTTTATCATACCTCTGCTTAAAGCTATGTATGGATCCTGCCTCCACTACATCGCTTCCCAAACTATTCCACTTACTGACCACTCTGTGGCTGAAGAAATACTTCCTAACATCCCTGTGATTCATCTGTGTCTTCAGCTTCCAACTGTGTCCCCTTGTTACTGTGTCCAATCTCTGGAACATCCTGTCTTTGTCCACCTTGTCAATTCCTCTCAGTATTTTGTATGTCGTTACCATGTCCCCCCTATCTCTCCTGTCCTCCAGTGTCGTCAGGTTGATTTCCCTTAACCTCTCCTCGTAGGACATACCTCTTAGCTCTGGGACTAGTCTTGTTGCAACCTTTGCACTTTCTCTAGTTTCTTTACGTGCTTGGCTAGGTGTGGGTTCCAAACTGGTGCCGCATACTCCAATATGGGCTAACGTATACGGTGTACAGGGTCCTGAACGATTCCTTATTAAGATGTCGGAATGCTGTTCTGAGGTTTGCTAGGCGCCCATATGCTGCAGCAGTTATTTGGTTGATGTGCGCTTCAGGAGATGTGCCTGGTGTTATACTCACCCCAAGATCTTTTTCCTTGAGTGAGGTTTGTAGTCTCTGACCCCCTAGACTGTACTCCGTCTGCGGCCTTCTTTGCCCTTCCCCAATCTTCATGACTTTGCACTTGGTGGGATTGAACTCCAGGAGCCAAATTGCTGGACCAGGTCTGCAGCCTGTCCAGATCCCTTTGTAGTTCTGCCTGGTCTTCGATCGAGTGTATTCTTCTCATCAACTTCACGTCATCTGCAAACAGGGACACCTCAGAGTCTATTCCTTCCGTCATGTCGTTCACAAATACCAGAAACAGCACTGGTCCTAGGACTGACCCTGACTGACCCCTGTGTGTGTGTGTGTGTGTGTGTGTGTGTGTGTGTGTGTGTGTGTGTGTGTGTGTGTGTGTGTGTGTGTGTGTGTGTGTGTGTGTGTGTGTGTGTGTGTAGGGTGTGTGTGTGTGTGTGTGTGTGTGTGTGTGTGCGTGTGTGTGTGTGTACTCACCTAATTGTACTCACCTAATTGTAGTTGCAGGGGTCGAGACTCAGCTCCTGGCCCCGCCTCTTCACAGAAAGCTACTAGGTCCTCTCTCTCCCTGCTCCATTAGCTATATCATACCTCGTCTTAAAGCTATGTATGGTACCTGCCTCCACTACATCGCTCGACAGCCTATTCCACTTCCTGACCACTCTATAACTGAAGAACTGCTTCCAAACATCCCTGTGACTCATCTGAGTCTTCAACTTCCAACTGTGACCTCTTGAAGGAAATCGTAAGGCCGATTTCCTTCAATCTTTCTTCATAGGACATTTCGCTTAGCTCTGGAACTAACCTTGTCGCAAACCTTTGCACTTTCTCTAATTTCTTGACGTGTTTGATCAAGTGCGGGTTCCAAACAGGTGTTGCATGCTCCAGTATGGGCCTGACGTACACAGTATACAGTGTCTTGAACGATTCCTTGCTAAGGTATCGGAACGCTGTTGTCAGGTTTGCCAGGCACCCATATACTACAGCAGTTATCTGGTTGGTGTGTGCTTCCAGAGACATGCTCGGTGTTATACTCACCCCAAGATCTTTCTCCTTGAGCGAGTTTTGAAGTCTTTGGCCACCTAGCCTATACTCCTTCTGCTGGGATCTGTGGCCTTCCCCTATCTTCATTGCTTTGCATTTGGCGGGGTTAAATTCGAGAAGCCAGTTTTTCTGGACCAGGTGTCCAGTCTGTCCAGGTCTCTTTGAAGTCCTGCCTGATTCTCATCTGATTTAATTCTCCTCATTAACTTCACATCGTCTGCGAACAGGGACACTTCTGAGTCTAACCCTTCCATCATGTCGTTCACATATACTAAAAATAGCACTGGTCCTAGGACCGACCCCTGTGGGACCCCGCTCGTCGCAGGTGCCCACTGTGATACCTCATTACGTACCATGACTCGTTGTTGCCTCCCTGTCAGGTAGTCTCTGATCCATTACAATGCCCTTCCTGTTATATGCGCCTGATCCTCTAGCTTCTGCACTAATCTCTTGTGAGGAACTGTGTCAAAGGCCTTCTTGCAGTCCAAGAAGATGCAATCAACCCACCCCTCTCTCTCGTGTCTTACTTCTGTTACTTTATCATAAAACTCCAGAAGGTTTGTGACACAGGATTTTCCTTCCATGAATCCGTGCTGGTTGGCGTTTATACTCTTGTTCCGTTCCAGGTGCTCCACCACTCTCCTCCTGATAATCTTCTCCATAACTTTGCATACTATACACGTCAATGACACAGGTCTATAGTTTAGTGCCTCTTTTCTGTCTCTTTTTTTCAAAATGGGAACTACATTTGTCGTCTTCCATACCTCAGGTAGTTCCCCAATTTCCAGGAATGTGTTGAAGATTGTGGTAAGTGGCACACACAGCATATCCGCTGTGTGTGTGTGTGTGTGTGTGTGTGTGTGTGTGTGTGTGTGTGTGTGTGTGTGTGTGTGCGTGTGTGTGTGTGTGTGTACTTACCTAATTGTGGTTGCAGGGGTCGAGACTCAGCTCTTGGCCCCGTGTGTGTGTGTGTGTGTGTGTGTGTGTGTGTGTGTGTGTGTGTGTGTGTGTGTGTGTGTGTCTGTCTGTCTGTCTGTCTGTTTCTGTGTGGGGGACAGGGGATGGGAAGGAGGAAAACACAATGAGATTTATTGAGTGGAGGGAAAATCTTCAGAACCTCCGAGCACGGAGCAGACCAGAAACATGACGGGAGTCTCCCTGACGAACCCCAGCCCCTCATGGAATCTTATGGAAGGCTCATTTTTATCCGCAATGATAAGTGAGGCACTTGTGCCTTCTCTCAGCAAGTGTGTTACCAGGGCGAGAGTGACAGCCTTACCGAGGCCCATCCTGCGATATTTCTCCAAGGTAAATGTGTTCTGAATAGTGTTATGCGGTGAGAACTGTGCCCACGCTATGGGTTGTTCCGTGTCTTCCAGTGCTGAATCTTCAGTGCCCTCTGTAGTGTGGGGTGAAGGGCAAGGGTAGACAGCATAGCCAGGGAGAGCTTTCACCATCTCAGTATATTCCTCAATGTTCTCAAGTTGGTTATACTCCCAGTGTTTGAAAAGAACATGAGCGTGATGCGGTTCCACAGGTCCTATCCTTAATCCCTCTGGTAACCTGGAGGAAAAATCACCGATAGTACATTAATCTGACTTTTTATGTCTTTAAAGTCTAAATGTAATAAGTATTTTTTTAATTAACAGTACAAATTACTTATATGTACTGTAATTAGATAACTTCATAGGGTGTTCAAGCTCATCGACTACACGAAAGTTAATAAAACTTTCTGAAACCTGTTCACTACTAGTCAGGAAAACTTTAATGCCCAAAGTATGATTGTAATTAACTCCTCAGCGTATTAATTCAGCATATATGATCTGACAGACGAACTCTGTCTGTACACTTCTAACTATACCAGGAAGGTCACGTCAGTATCTTCAAATGTCACTAATTTCGTTTTTTAATGAATTTTATATTATTGGCCTCAGCTCAAAAAACAGATTTTTTTTTACTTAATTTTTAAATTACCATTTTTCGTTGATAACATCAATATGACAACATTGCAAAAACAAAAATGTTAAATTCATATGCAAAATCGTAAAACTTTGCAAAATTTACTGAATTAGACAGTTTAAAATTCAAAGTGTGGCAAATTTAGAATTAACACACAAATTAATAATAGACGATAGACGCTTTGGTCCATTTTAGATTAATTTTAAGCAGATAATAATTTAAGCAGGAAAAAAATTGTAAACTGTTCATTGCCACTTCATAGGTGAATAATTTAAGTCTTGATACAGATATTTATACGTATAGATGTTTAAAATATATTTTATTGTAAAAAGACTCACATAAAACGAGTAGCAAGTCCACATACAGTACCTGGGAGAGGCGGAGGGAAGAGTAGCCTGGGTTACAGTGTACACGTGAGCGTCAATAACGGGGTCAGGTATTAATTTACCTCCCCCAAGTACGCCGGTCCTGATCATCTCATCCATCTGATACGATAAAGAAACATTTGAGTCACAGGAAATAATGTTCAGTATATGTAGGAGGCCCAGGGTAGGCCTTAAGCTGATTGGACCGATTGCTCCCAATTGGGCCCCGCGCCATAGGGGGCCCCACGCTAGAGTGTAATCTACTCTTGTTTGTTAATTGTAGGCTTACATGTATGCAATTCTGTATTAAAATGAAGTTTACATCTGCTTGGTCTATTAACTCGCATACATTTTTTAAGCGCACAGTTTGATTGCTTTTCAAAACTGTTCCCATTTGGACCCCGCACCTCCCAATACCGGCTCTGTGTAGGACAAAATGATTATGGAAAAAATCACCAACATAATGGTCACCAACGCTTCAGGAAAGGACAAATTTCGTCTCCTAGCTGTGAAGGCACAAAATTCAGGAGATTTCCTTCTAGATGTTCCCAATTCCTTGGGCACTCAACTCGACCCAAAGGGATATTTGGATTGGTGTTGCTGTTCTCCTAGCCTCCCTCATACTCAGTGAACATAGGTATATTTGCGGCAGGGCGTCAGCTGATCATTTCGGACTACACTGTCTCGTTTGTCAAACATCAGAAAGGAAATATGCGAGACATGAGAAGGTCAACGACATTATCAGCTGAAAAGGAACCCCAAGTACTGAGGTCTGACCGGAGTCCCTATGCTACCCTGGAAAGATAGAAAGCAGATCGCATGGGACTACTTAAGAGGATGGAGCCGCTAGCTTCAGGGAAACCGAGATCAAAAAATGTGGTGGGCTACCACCTTGCTATAACTTCATCCCAGAGGTTCTACTTGTTCAGGAAGAAAATAGGAAGCTGAAGTATCGCCCAGATGAGTTTGGGAGTGAGTGTGAGATGGTTGGAGCTGGTAAGGAGGAGAAGGATACCAGCAGTGAGTCAGAGATTGGCAGCCACTTTAAATGGCAAGTGGTTCACTAATTCAGGAAGAAGGAAGATAAGGAAGGTTAATAGAGAAGATGTGAAGGTGAAAAATCAATTCTCTGTTCTCCAGGACGAGTGTATTTCAGTGGTTAGTGAGGTAAAAGGTACCCTGCTAATCAAGGTAGGTATATTTTGATTGTGGGAGATTCTCAGGTAAGATATATGGAGCATGCTTTTTGTAATAGAGACAGAAAGGTCAGACAGAGGGTGAGCCCCCCAGGAACTGGTGTTGGTGACATAGTCAGCAGGTTGATAATATTATGTCAGGTAATGGGAACAAGCTTATTATCTGTCTTAGTGCTGGTGAAAATGATATTGGGAAGGGCAGAAGACAGGAGCTGCTGGATAAGTACAGGTCAGCCATAGAAGTACTCAGGTATAAGGGAGGGATCCCAATCATACGTAGCATCTTGCCTAGAAGGGGAGTGGGCAATGAATGGATGTCTAGGGCAATTGGTATAAATTGCTGGCTAGACAGGAACTTGCAATCCCATTCATTGATAACAGGGACAAATTCTACGGCAAAAGTAATATGTATGCAAGAGATAGGGGTTCATCTTTCTGGGGCTGGAGTGGTTGCATTAGCCAATTCGATTGAGAGGTCATTGTTGACTTGTCTAGAACTTTAAACTGATAGATTATAGAGGTATGGGTGTTTGTGGGAAATAATCAGGCTGCAGAACTAGGGTTGAAAACAGCAGATATTACCAGGATACCCCAGAGGCATGTTTAAAAGACAATATTCAAAATAAAATTGCTAGTAAAGGCAATGCAATTATTAAGCAAACAAAGAGAGATAGTAAAGGGCAACAAGTGACTAGCTCCCTTATGGTTTACTATACAAATAGTAGGAGTTTAAGAAATAAGATAGATGAGCTGAAATTACTTGCAAATGCAGGTAATATAGATTTATTGCTATAACAGAGACCTGGATCAACTTGAAAGATACAGAAATGCTTTCCGAATGCAACATACAGGGTTATAAACTATTCCACACTGATAGGGTCAACAGAAAGGGAGATAGAGTGGAGATGTATGTCAGAGATCATTTAAATTGTTGTGTTAGACAAGATATAAGATCAGAAACATCGGACAGAATCTGTTTGGCTACAGTTTCTTGAAGGCCGTGAAAAATTAATTTTGGGTGTGATATGTAGGCCGCCAAACCTTGATAGGGAGTGCGGTAGGCTGCTATGGGATGAAATTCATAAGGCGTTTAGATATGAAAATATGTTAATTAGAGATATTAACTTTAGACAAATTGATTGGAACAATGTGACAGGAAATCTTGAGTCAAGTGACTTTTTTTGATGTGTTCGGATTGCTTTTTTTAAAAAACAACACACACACACACACACACACACATAGATGACACACAACAACAACACACACACACACACACACCACACTCACATATATATATATATATATATATATATATCTATATATATATAAATATATAAATATTATATATATATATACATATACATACATAATATACATAATATATATATATATATATATATATATATATAATATAGTATATATTATATATACATATATAAATATATAATATATATATATATATATATAAATATATATATAATATATATTATATATATACATATATAGATTATAAATTATATATAAATATATATAATATATATATATATATATATATATAAGTAAATATATATATATATATATATCGTGCGAAATAGGCAGAACTGCGATCATGGCTTAAATAGCAACGTTCATTCTTGCCTATAGGACAATCGAAAAATTGTGTATGCAATGAATTTCGCCAAAATCATTCTGAAACTAACGAAAAAATGTATTTCACTGTGTTTGTTTTAGTTATTAAAATTACTGTAAACAAATCTAAAATATATTTTAGTTGGGTTAGGCTAAAATAATGTTCTTGTTAATAATTAAGTTTAGATAAGCTTTCTAAGATTCTTTTGATGCAAAATAATAAATTTTACATTAACATTAATGAAAAAATTATATCCTTTAAACGAATAAAGAAAAATTTCAGAAAGAACTTAATTTCTTAAATGAGTTCCTTGCTAATTGACCATTTTCATATTCGGCACGACATATTATATATATATATATATAATATATATATATGATATATATATATATATATATATTATATAATATATATATATATCTATATTATACAGATATATATATATATTATATATATATAATATATATATATATATATAGTATATATATAATATATATAATATATATAACATATATATATGTGTGTTGATATATATATGCAAAAAACAACCACTGTGAAAAAAATAGAGAAATTCCAAGCATTTTCGTGACTACTCACATTAGTCCAAGGAACAAGTATTGTGAGGTGTCACGAAAATCGCCTTGGAATTTCTCTATTTTTCACAGTGATTGTTCTGCATATTCTGAAAATCACCTGTTTAAATTTGTTCTTATTGCATTATATTATTATATATATATATATATATATATATAAATATATATATATATATATATATATATAATATATATATATTATATATATATATATATAATAATAATAAATATATTTATATATACAATGTATACATATAAACAGCTATATATATTATTTATATATTATATAAATTATATAAAGTATATATATATTATATATAATATATATATATATATTACCGATCATGGACAAAGATCGCCAAACACAATGCCTCTCAAGCCTTCAGGAAAGAACAAAGCCTGTCCTCCTGGCAGTGAAAGGCACTACACTTAGGAATTTCCTGTTAGCTGTTCCAATTACCTTCCCTGGCACCCGTCTCGACCACAGGCCATTCGGATTGGTGTTGCTCTTCGCCTACCGGCCCCCATCCTCACCGAACATAGGTGATTTGCGGCAGGGCGACAGCTGATCAATTTT